TGGCTTCCTTGTTTGAAGGCTGCAGCTCTTTTGCCAACATAAAATAACAAATGCTGCGACTTGTTTTGGTAACCCTGGAAACTCTCATATGATGTATTTAGGAACCAGGAAGTAAACATGGGCTACACACTGAACCAAATGAGAACCACCCACTGATCTCTATTTATTCATAACGCATAATATTACAGATGTGCCAAAAGTGCTAAATTGATGATGTTCATGTAATATACATCTATTTATTACATTGTTATGGTAAATGTTTGAGTTGCTTTTTTTCCGTCAATATAACATGCAATATATTTCAGCACATGACTTTTTCAAATGAGAAATAAATGAGAAAACGCCTCCAAAACGACAGAATCATCTGCTTAATGATGAATTACTACATTGACATTTCATAGTGACTTTCTATTTACTCTACACTGCAAAAAAAGTATTTTTTTTCTTAAAATAAGTGCATTTGTTCTTGAATTGAGGGGATAAAAGAGACATTCTGCCAATGGAACAAGACAATTTAGACGATTTAAAATAAGAAAACACAATTGCATTGTTTATTTTCAAGTGACTTTTATCTAATTATCTTATTTTAAGAGTAAAAATACTGATTCCATTAGCAAACTATTTCATTTACCTACTCAAATCAAGGGTAAATACACTTAGTTTAAGACATTTTTTAATTATTTCTAGATCGTTTTTCCAGTGTACTTTCTATTTTCGTATGTTAGACACAATGTTGATGGCTAACTCAGTCAATATCTTCGAGTCAATCTGAGATATCCAGACTAATGTTGTGCTACATACTATATTATGGGATACATGGGCGTATATACTGTATGGATTTCCTTGGTTAGTACATCCAAAAACTCTAAAATTCCCGTTGGAACGTCTTCCCACAGCCGCCAGACTGCTTGTTTTTGAAGCCAAATGCTACAAAAGAAGCCATTTTTACCGTGTGTCTCCGTAAAAGGAGTAACAGCATGAATAGAGATCAGTTGTACCACCCTGTAGGTCTAAAGGTTGTTGATGAAACCTGAGTGAATTACCCCCCCACCTTATTCAAATCGGACAAAATTAGTGTCAAACTTTTGTGCTACGTTTATGCTTGTTTGTGCAGCAAAAATTTACGTTTGTGCCGCTTTCATTTTAAAGATATAAAGAGATGTTTCTAGAGGTCATCAAAGGTCAACCAAACCCCCCCACACACACACACACACTTTCTTCAAATCTTCAAATCCAAAGCAGCACAAACGAAAATGTTTTGCTGCACAAACCAGCTCAAACTGAGCTGAGTTAATTGACACCTATTTCGTCTGATTTGCATAAGGTGGGGGGGCTGGTTGACCTTTGATGACCTCTAGAAACAATCTCTTTATATCTTTAAAATGAAAGCGGCACAAACGAAAATGTTTGCTGCACAAACGTTTGACACCAATTTTGTCTAATTTGAATAAGGTGGGGTGGGCTGGTTGACCTTTTGACCTTTACATTTTCATTAATATCTTCAAATCCAAAGCGGCACAAACGAAAATTTTTGCTGCACAAACGTTTGACACTAATTTTGTCTGATTTGAAGAAGGTGGGGGGGCCAACTTCACTCAGGTGTTGATGAAGGGAACTGACTGTTTAAATGGAATGTTACTTCAATCACAGATGACAAATGAAAATTATTTCATTACATTTAGAGTAAATTTCTTACTTATTGGTCATTTAAAGGCCTTTTTTCCAATCCAGAAAATCAGAATACAGAGAAAACTGCTTTGCTGTATTCCAAGATCTTTGATTCTAGAAGTCACAGCCTCTTTTATTCTATTTTCCATGCCACACTTTCACCAAAGTCAGAATAGCTGAAAGGCATGTTTATTAGAATTGGGTCTCAATACACAGAGTTATTCTTCCACGTCCATCGTGGACTCGAACGTGTCGCTGATCGGCTGAGTTTGCGGCGGCTCTTCCGGCTCAGTGATACTCTCCACCGTTTCACTCCTCTCTCTCTCCTGACTCGACGTCTCCTCCTCCGCTGCTGCTTCCTGTGACTCGTCTACAGCCCTGTTGATGCAGTCAGAGCCGAGGCCTGAGGTGGAGTCTGTGTCGTCCGAGCCGACGGTCGGGTCCGCGGCGCTCTCTGCGATCGGAGCCTCCGTACGATTAGTGGCTTCGCTGTCAGAGAGACTTCCATCAACCTCCTTTACTATGACATTCCTCAGCTTCCTCTGCCGTGGATTGTAGTTCTCCGTGCGTTTGTGGATCTGAACGTGTCGTCTGAGATGTGCCTGAGAGACAGAAGGCTTTGGTTAAGGAATGCTGAGAAACAACTGGGTCATTGGTGTTCAACGAGTGGTACGAAAATCAGGCGTTCCTTTATCTGTAACCTGGAAGTT